ATTTTAAACAGCTGGATTTTTTCATCCCCCCAAGTTTATATTTACCTGTCAATATGGAAAAATTTGTATTTCAGTGCAGGGTCATTCGTTCTTTCTTTCTTTTTTAATAAATGACATTTTTACTGGGAATTAGGGGAGCGTTTCCATTTCAGACTGTCCACTCATCAGCGCCCCCACTCCAGCCCCATTGTATTCTATCCTACATCCAACCCTGATTCCTTTTCTCCCGCTTACTGACCTCGATCCTCCCTGTCACCCAGGTCAACACCTGGCACCCTTCGAGTCTGTTGCTTCCTCTTCCCACCCTTAACTCCCCTCCCTTGGGAGCCTCCAAAGTCTGCTCCTTTTGGTATGCAAGTCTTTGTCTAGGATTTTATCCTAGTAGTAGTGGTCTCCCACAATATTTGTCCTTTCTTGACTGACTGACTTCACTTAGCATAACATTTGCCAGGCCCAGCCATGTGGTGAGATGTTTTGTGGCTTCATCACTGTTTAAAATGGCTTGATATTCATGTTCACGCCATTGTTTTTCTTCATTCCAAGAGTCAGGTTAGGGCTGCCAGAATCTCCCATCTGTCTTGGGTTTCAGCTACCAGCCTTCCCTCACAAAGGTGATGGCCAGTCTGCATCCCTGGTCCTCAAGATCCCCAGAAGGGACCCACAGAAGTGGAGGATGACATAGTAATTTGATCCGTTTTCAAATCTAGGTAATTAGCTAAATATCTCTCACATCTCCTCATCCCCCTCCTTTTAATACTCCCTACTAATGATTGAGTTTTTTGCCTGAAATCCTGCAATAGCATCCTGGTTTCCCTCACCTCCTCTTACCTGCTATAGTCTATCTTCTCCACAGTGAAGCCTACGTGTCCCAACACATCATTCCGCTAATGTATCCCCTAATGACTTCCCATCGCCCTCAGCATAAATGCCAGCATATCAGACAAATCCCTTCCATGAGCTGGCCCTGCCGACTCACCCGGTGCCATCTTTTTTGGGCACCACACTGAATCCACCCCTCTCCTCTCCAGACAAGTTAAGGCGAGTTGACATTGCTGATGTGAGTGGCCATCCTGGTGACCTGGCTCATGGGGACACCCAGGCACACCAGAACAAAGTGCTTCCAGGTCCCCCTCCCCCCCAAACTGGCTGCAGATGGGCTGTTATGATCCATACGGCTTTCCTTGACTGGTTTTCGGAAGCATGAGGTGTGTGGTCTGGGAATCCAGCTTGGCAAGTGGGAATTCCACCATGAAGTCCAGCCAGCTGTCTTTCCCTTTCTCACAGGTGACTGCCTCTGTCTGACACCCCCTCCTCCAGATGGTCACCCGGCTAATGCCTACTATTCCTGGACACTCCATCAGTTTGGTGTCAGCTCCTTGTGAAGCCCTTCTTGACCCCTTGTCATCTGAGGACTCTCTGAAACTGCTATGTGTTCACCAAGTCTCCTTTCAAGTGCTCGGCCAGACATTTCCCAGACTCCCTTGCAGTTAACTTGAGGCCATCTGGCTGGGTCCTGGCAAGCATGTGTGGAAATGAGGCATGCCTCTTCTTGCACCTTAGGCCACCTTCAATCACCCATGGCCTTTTCCCTTCCATAACTTTGTGACCACAGATTCGAGATGGCAGCAGGGTCCAAAGACAGTGCAATTGAAAGGAGCGAGCACTAGGGAGAGCCGCCTGACTCCATCGGGCTGTGAAATCGTGTTCTCAAGATTTCCGCGTTTAGTCATTCCCCTGAAATTTGTTTGTTCTTTATTTATTTCTCCATCTAGGCTTTCCGACCCATACAATTAGGTATCTCTTTCCTTTTGGTATTAACCTCTTCTGGAGCTTACATGACAAGTTGTCCCTTTCCCACTGGACCGTGAGCTCCTTGCTGACAAAGACTGGGTTTTCTTTACATCTTGATAATCTGATCTATGGTACTTGATATATAATGGGCACTAAAGCAACAATTTTTGGAATGAATCAAAGATGTCAGTGTCTCATTTGTTAATGGAGCAGAACTCTAAAACGACAAGGTTAGAGGCAGAGAGGCCGCGCTCTCATCGGCTGGGACAGCCTGTTTGCCTGCGGTTTCTGAAAAGCAACAAACCCAAACAAGCACACAACAAGAAACACTGAATGCCACAGAGTCAACCTGGCGCATGACAACCCCATGCGTCTCACAGTAGAACCGGATTCCACTGGATTTTCAATGGCTGTTTTTTTTTTTAACCCTGCGGAAGGTTCCAACCACCAGCCTTTTGGTTAGCAGCCAACGCGTGGCCATTTATGCCAATAAGGGAACCTGGTCTTTGACTGCACGGCTGCAAGCTTTCCTGCTGCTGGTTCATGAAGCACCTGAGGGAGAGGACACTCCCCAAGCCTCCTAATCCCCACATCACCCACCTTTTCTGGGCATTTTCTTCCCACAGCTCCCCTGCAATTTCTAGGAGTTGCTTTTATTTCATTCACTAAACAGTTTACGAACGGAATTAAAATAAATGAGATGCAAATAAATTCCAGGCTTTCTCCCTCATTTTCAAATTACATTTTCAGTCCACTCAACCTGTTATAATCTCATAGTGATTTTCATTTAAGAGAGCTAAATGGATATGTGATTATTGTTACAGGAACTAACACCAGACAATTAAATGTTGAGGTGTTGATAGATAAAACTGTGTTTTGATTTGCATAAACATGATGCCAGCAAATCTAACCCTGGCAGAAATTCAGTTATAAGACTTGCGTGCCTAACTTCTGCTAATTACCGCAAGTGCCATTATTAAGATTTTTTAATATTCAGAATTGGGATTATAGCCATTTTATTTCAGGGACACATTTATCTTTATTTTGAAAACTTAGTCAAAATGCATAACTGATGTATCAGAGAAAAGAAATGATTACTACTTCTAATCAAGTTCTACAATGCTGCATATCAAAAATCAATTACACAGCCCCGAAACCCAGTCATTAAGGATTTAGCTACTAATCTCATTCCATTTTTGTCTTTAGGAAGATACAGCCGCTTGCAACTTTGCAGATACCAGGAGAGGAAGGAAAGCATGGGAGACTGCTGATAACCTAATGTGGGGAATTAGACTCCAGCCAGACAAAGGAGGAATCTTAATACGGAATGGCCCACCTCTGCAGGGACATCACCTGGGTGGCTGGACTGCAATCCAGTAACATGGCAAAAGTGATGGCCCAACTTTTGCCAAAGGGAGCCTTCCAGCCAAAGGGATTCCAAAGCATGTGTTAAACTCTGCTGTTGTATGTTGCTTAATGTCTTCCTAGTGCCACCTCCATCTGTCATTTTGTCAGGTACTTGTTTTCTCTCCCCCACCCCCATGATCCCTGGGATGGAAGCTGCATGAGAAGACCTGGTTTTGGCTGCCTGGCATCTTCGGTGCACAGCACAGTGCCTGGTCCTTAGCAGGTGTTCAAAACCATCTGCTCTATGCTTGTTGAAATCTCAGGTTTTCCCCCGGAACAAAGGTGAATACGGTGGTAGGAACTGGTCCTTCTGAGTGGCAGACACTTACCCAGAAGACTTCCCAAGAAGAGGTAGTGACCAAATGGCCCAGGAAGTTTGGACAAACCTTAGCTCATTTGGTAGGGGCACTTGAATTCCAGTTATAGCTTTTAAAAACGAATAGGTGATATCTAATGAGCACCTTTCCGATGCAAGCATGATGCTAAATGTCTACCAAACACTGGGCTCATGCGGATGGAGAACCGTGGAAGAGTGCTCTCAAGAATCTTGGCACGGGAGTCAGACAGAAAGACGGATGTGGGCTGAGCCTTATTTTATTTCTAGCCATCCTGTCCATGGAAACATTTCTTAGGTTCCCTGAACCTGAGTTTCATTTTTTGACAAGTAATAGCTCCCCTCCTGGGTCTGTTAGAAAGATTACATTGAGCTACATCATGCAGTTCAGGGGGCCGTGAGTAGTGCCAAGAATTAACTTGCTCAAAGTTGGAGGTCTGAGCCACCCAGTTGGGGTCTTGGAGACGGGCCTGGAGATCAACTTTTGGAAAGTCAGCCATTGAAAGCCAGTTGGGGCCCTGCTCTATTCTGACACCCAGGGAGATACCATCATTTGGCAGGGGGGTGGGGGGCGCTGCATTTGCCTTTTTACAGCAGTTCACACATGGATGGCATCCTAAACATGCCCCAAAGTGATATATTCATGTTTGCAAGCTCTGCCTCGGGATCACGTTGCCTGTCTGGAGAAGCTGAGGTTCATTCAAACTTCCTGTGCCATTTGGTTGTTCCTTCCTCTTGGCAAGTCTCCCTGGCTCCCTCAGGCTGGGTGAGAGCTCTTCCCTGGGACCTCAGTGGACCCGGGTGTACTGCTGTCTCTTCACTGAACCCACTGGGCGACCGTGTCTCTATCTTGCCACACTACGCGCTCCCTGAAGGCAAGGAACACAGTTGTCAATCTGTGGCCTTGCAGTATTTAGCAGAATACTTGAGACGTAACAAGTCGGTGTCGAGTGGATTCTAACTCGTGGCGACCCGTGGGTGCGAGGAGGTTTGTGTTCTACAGGTGCTTTCAGTGGCTGCTTTTTTCTGAAGTAGATTGCCAGGCCTTTCTTACACCGCACCTCTGGGTGACTAAACCCTCTGACTTCTCCATTAGGCACGTTCACTACTTGTCCCAGCCGGGGACTTTCCTGGGCATAGAGTTGGCCCAAATGCACATCCACTGAATAGGCTCCGGATGGAGGGAGAGGATGGTAAGTGTGCCAAGCAGACCAAAGCCACCTCTGGCAACAGCCTAAACATAAGTCCCCCACGGCAGGAAACAGCTGCCATTTTCAGCCTGAGGAAATGGAGACCCTTGTTCCTCCGGGGGAAGTCCTGGAGCCATGTGGCTCTGACCTTCTGAGGCAAGGAGCTGCCTTCTCCACTCGAGGGAGGCGCACCGACCACTCGGAAGCGGTGCATGCGCTCAGCAGCGCGAGGAAAGGGTGTGCCCTTCTGTGGTGACACGCGGGGTGGAACCACTTACCCGGAGCTTCCTGCCGAAGATGGTGACTTTGCCTTTAATCTGTTCCTTCCTTAGGCGCCACTCGATGGAGTTCAAGCCATTCTCCATGGGCAGGGAGATGTTGCAGCGCCCGATGGTGGGGGTGATGGTGCCCGCCAGGACGTGAGGCTCACTGTGGAAGCTGACGCCCATTCCATTGGCGTACATCACCCTCAGGGTGCCGTTATTGCAGAGCTGGTAGCTGTTTCGCACTTGATCTGGAGAAGGGTAAGCGGGCGGGGTGGGGACAGGGAAATAAATCAGCCACTCTATTAGTAACAAGAGAACAGAACCCCCATTTTCTAGGTTTCCACGGTCCTTTGCAGCTGGCAGTCCAAGACTGCCTTCAATTAGCACACACCCAATGTGAAGGTGAGTAGCAGAGAGGCTACTGATCCGTGTAAAGGAAAACATGATTAAGATGTGGCACTCCAGAAATAATTATGCTGTGGTATTTTTCTTTTACTCACGGAAGGTTATTAATAGCAAATGTAGACAGTTAAAGACGCTGTTTGCCTACACAATTTGTGTCAATCAAACGCCTGGTCTTTAACATATGTATTTTAGCTGAACCAGAAAAAACAATAGTAATGAAGGAGAGGAAGACTGCTTCCCTCCCTCCCACATGTTTGCCTCCCAACTAACCCGGAGCTTCTCGTTTGGCCACAGGTCAGATCTACTCAAAATCAAGTCCTCGATGCTTCCAGAAAACCCACAGGGAAGGCAGCCTCCCCTCCCCTTGTGCTTTGGCTACTGGCTCTCGCATGGCACCACCTCCCACCCAGGAGGAGTTTGCAGAGTCAAATAGCAAGCCTCCACTAGGCCGGTGGTGCTAATAACATGTGCTTATCTTCCCGGATGGAATCTACCACCCCTGTCAATCTGATTTCTGACCTTTCCCTTTATCCAAAAAAATTACAGGAAGGAGACACAAGTCTGAGACTCTGTTTACAGATGTTGCTTTCTGATGATCTAGGCAATGGTGCCCTGCTGGGCCGGCCGTGGAGGCAGCGGCCTTTGGGGTAGGGAGAAAGTGTCTTCCAGCCCTGCTGGGATCCCACCATCATGCAGAAGGGCAGAATCTACATCATTAATCACTCGACAGAGCTGAAATAGAGTCATTGAAACAGGCTCTGTCGGGGGATAATAGTCTAGAAATGTCACCATTTATCTACGGAGAGGACACTTTTATCCTCTGACAATGGGCGAGCCCACCGACATTATATCTTAATTAAAAGGAAAATGAACCGACACCATCCCTTTTCTTGCCAGCTCCGGCGCTTGTCCTGGATGGCCCGGCATGCCCAGCAGCTACAGTCCCCAGAGGGCAGTCTAGATGCTACCATTTGACGGCCAATGCTAAAGGGCGCTGGTCCCGGGGCACCAACGCAACCAATGACTGTTTATAAGAGAGGGGCAGAATGGAACAGAGCCGAGGGCGGGTCTCTCACAAGAGGCTTGATTCACATGTGCTGGGGTGGGGCAGGGGGGCAGGTGGGAAGAGAGCGGGCTGAAGGCAAAGCTGATATTTTCAGGTAGGTATGTGGACATCTCCAAATATCCAGAGTTTGGTTGTGGATGCAGGCACAGCTCGATTAACTGCGCTCCGCGGATCGGAGTTGCTGACAAATCAAAGGTCCGCGGCAATCCCCCGCCTGGCGAGTCTACAGGTGTCATCCCCCCCCAACAGCAGGTGCTGACTTTGCGTCGCCATCACATGTTGGTTCTTCTCACCGTATTTCAGACTACTCTGACACTACGACTGTCGTGTCAATATTACTTCAGTCTGGACCGGGAAACCCCCAAATGCGCGCCACTTGCTACAGCACGGCGCTGGCTTGATCGCGGTGCTCTGTAACCGGAAGGATGCGCTGTCGTGGTGGTGCCCTGTAGCTGCTGGATCATTTTCTACAAGGGTGAGCCCTTACAGAGCTTCTGTTCTGTGGCTATTTGATGAAAGCAGAGCGGAGAGCAAGGCCTGCTGGCCAGATGGGCTGGGCTGGGTGTAGGGGTGAGCTGGGGGTGGGGGTGGGTGGGGTGGGAGCAGGCGTACCTTGGACCACGGTGTACGAGGCCTCCACTGACGAGAGGTTGGTAATGACGGTGACGTCGTCGTCGCGGTTCGAGTTTTCAATGTCAATCGTGATGGACTTCTCCATTTCCCGGTGCAGGCTGGTCACCACTCCCGTGGGGCGTGTCACGTTGGTCAAGCGGCCCTCGTGGTCATAGCTAGGGGATAGACATGCCGTATGGGAGCATTTATAATACTTAGAAACATACCAGGGCTGGAGGGAGACTTGGAGGCGGAGCGCCTGGGGGTGTGCATCCCACTGAAGGTTGCCCCCTGCCTCTCAAACCCCACCCTGCCCGAGAACCAGTGGCAATGCTTCCTACACCGGCAGGATCAATGATGCCGTCTCAGCAAAGACAGTTCACTTGGTTTTTGGCCAGGTGCCTTTACGCTTCCCCCAAGCTAGAGACCACAGCGGCGTGTGCCTTTTATTTATGTGCTCTGCAAAGCCACCACATTAATTGTCCAGCAATGTCATTTTCATTGCGATACTTCATTATGAACAACGCAGAGCATTTTCCCATCGGCCACTCCGTGAAAGGGAAACCTGGCAGGGAAACCATCCACGTCCCAGTCTTGTTCGCTGGAACAACCTCAACCTCATCCCCTTGTGCCCTAGAAGCCCTCTGGACACCCTAAGCCACATGCCCCCTCTGCCCATTAGCAGTTAAGCAGGACTCCTGTCCTCTAGGCCCAAATTGACCAGGCTTAGCTCCCCAAGCAGCCTCCGTGGACAATTTCCCCGGATGACTCACTTGGCCTCTGTTGTGTCCAGCCACACCAGTGATCACTGCCCCACTGTGTGCAGGTGACCTCTCTATTTCAGGGAAAGTAGGGTCCTGGTGGCACAGCGGATTAAGCTCTGGGCTGTTCACTGCAGGCTCCATGGTTCAAATGCACCAGCTGGAAGCAGGAGTGGGATGAGGTGGCCTGCTCCCTGGAGGGGTGGCAGGCACGGAAACCCCAGGGAGTCGTTCTTTTCTGCCCTGTAGGGCCACCGTAAGTTGGCATGGGCTCTCTGGCAGCAGGTTAATTTATGGCCGAATTCCTGGGTGGGACACATGGTAAATGAGGCTACAAATGGGAAAGATGGGAGAGTGGAGCCTTCTCAGAGGCTCCTTGAAAGAAAGGTTCAGGGATCAGCTTCTAAAAAGAAAAATCAGGCACAGAAAATGCCACAGAGCACAGTTCCACATTGACACACAGGGAGTCACCACAGTTGGAATCCATTCAACAGCAAGTGTTGAAATTTTTTTTCCCTTTTTTGGCTCTGTGTTCATTTTTACTATTTTCTTAACTATTGGGTTGTGTCCTCCCCTTCCCCCGACCTCCTTTAGCAAGAAGCCTTGTAGGATTTAGTTGGGCAAGCAGTTCCTCTCCCTGGAAGAACCACTGCATTTGGAATGTGGGGAGCGCTTAAGGTTCCAGGAAGGGAAATAGTCCAATTTCCAGGAAGATCTGAACTGGGCGCCTTCAGAGCCCTCCAGATGAGCTGGGGGCGGATGGAGACAAGAGGGGGAGGCGGGCCATGTGGCGTTCTGTAGGAAGGGTGAAAAGAAGGAAGAGCAGAGCCACCTCTGGGTGGGACTCTCCTTGGACCGGGAAGAGGGACCAAGATGGAGGGTCCTGGATGGTGGAGAGCAGAGCGTGTGCAGCATCTGGGCAGAAGGTTCTCAGAGAAGGATCACCGTGGGAAGAGTCTGTGGACAGAGGACGGTCCTCGATGGCTAATGACCGTGACACAAAGACAGAGGGTGGCGGGTAAATGGTGTTTGAATGAATGAACACAGACCTGGCTCAGACTTGGAGTGATGCGTGGAATTCTGTTCTGAAGAAGAAATCGAGGTTTGAAGGCTGCGAGTTGTGCCATAGTGACACTGGGTAAAAGATGGGTAAGAAGGGTGGTGGTGGGAGTGGGGAAGGGATCTGAGAAGGTGGGGTCCCAGCCCTGTAAAGAGTTCCCGGCCACGAGGCAGTGGGTAGGGCAATATTTCCCTCTTGGCAAGCCCTGCTGATGTAACCATCTTAAACAGGGACAGAGCTTGACTCAGGTGCTCTGAGTCAAAATAGGAGAGAGGGCCATTAATGGAAGACTGGATAAGCACACTACGGTACACCCACACAATGGCATATTCTGCGGTGTCAAAGAATAGCGATGAATCTGTGAAACACCTCCTTACATGGGTGGCACAGGAGGACATTACGCGGGACAATCTTCGTCGAAAGGACAAATATTGTCTGAGACCACGGTTGTGAAAGGTCAGGCAAAGACATTCTTGATGCTACATTGTAGGGATTGCAATCAAGGACAGGAAGCACAATGCGTGTCAGTTATTGATTGCAGAACTGATCTGTCTGTAAACGTCCACCCGATTCACACGAAAGAGTTAGAAACACATTTGCACAAAGGGCTCCCTTGTGCTTTCTTCTGTGCTAAAGGCACCACCTCTCAGACAGAAGCACTGAGTGACGGAGACCAGAGTTGGTGCAGCACCTGGAGTAGGTCAAGTTGTTATTTACAACCGTGACAAATTAGAACAACTTCCACATTCCTTGAGTGAAGGGTCATTAAACAGCTGATGATATACTTTAAAATACAAACCTGTGGGGCCACCAACATGGAAGACAATGTTTTTCTACTGGCACAGAAAATGGACATGTAGTTGAATGGAAATAATGGAATCTACTCATATCAAATGTTCATTGTAGGGGGGATGAAAATATGAACCCTGGTGGTTGGGCACCAATCCACATGGTCCACAGTTTGAACCCACTCGTTGGTCCTTGGAGAAAGATGGGAATTTCTACTCCTGGCAGGAGTTACAGTCTCTGAATCTCGGGGGTGGCCGTTCTACCCTGTCTTATAGGGTGGCCATGAGTCTAACCCTGCTCGATGGCAGTGAGACCTATGTAGAAGAAATTCTCTGAAAATACAGACAACCGAAGGTTAATGGCCACCATCTGTAAGTGAGTTTGCTGGGCTCTGGTGGTTTATCCAGTATCTGTGATGCTGGAAGCTAAACCCAAATAAAAACAAATAAACTCACTGCCATTGAGTGGATGATGACTCATCACAACCTTTTAGGAAAGGGTAGAATGACCTTCCTGGGTTTCTGAGACTGTGATGCTTTTCAGGAATAGGAAGCCATGTCCATACCACCAGTTCCAAATACCAGTCAGGGCAACCAAGGAAGATGGGTGCTTCTCGACTAAGAGAAATGAGGAAGAATGGCCTGGTGGTCTACTTTCAAATACTAGCCAGGGAACACCCTGAAGTGTTAGGTCTCACTGCCATTGAGCAGGGGTTAGACTCAGGGCCACCCTATAAGACAGGGTAGAACGGCCACCCGCGAGATTCAGAGACTGTAACTCCTGCCAGGAGTAGACATTCCCATCTTTCTCCAAGCCTTGTGCTCAGGAACCAATGCTGTCCCCATCTCCAATGGCAACTGGTGAGTCTGGAGGAGTTTCTGTCTCTGGGACTCAGGGTTTAATTCAATTCCAGAGTTTCTACAGGATGTTGGAGTTGGGACCAGAATTGCAAAAGCCACAGGGAGAGAAACATTCCTTTCCTCTCTCAAAGAACATCTAGTGTAGACAGCTCTGCTAACCTCTCCACAGTGGGCATATTTGCGGATCTGGTTTCCTTACAAATACATCTGCACTTAGGGGCAAGGCTTGACGAGGCCCAGGGATGGAATCGAAAAGACAACACGGTGGAACTAGACAGGCCTTGGAAGTGGGACGGAGGCTGCCTTCGACTCATTTACTCAACAAATGTTCACCGAGTGGTGATGGTACGTCAGGCACTGTTCAAAACACCAGGGCATGGCTGGGAACAACCTGGACAAAAATCCTGGTCCTCATGTTGTGTACATGCTGCCAGGGAGGACACAATCACCAACAGTGAAAACGTAGACTATGTCAGATGGAGACAGCTGAGCTGATAAAAGTCTACTCTCTCTAGCAGGCAGGACCCAGAGGGGAGCTGTTTCTACTCTTCCTGCAGATGGGAGGACTTGTACCCCAGCTCCAGCATCAGGGTGGGAAGAGAGTGTCTCCTACCTCAAGCTCTCCTGTATCGGCAGATGTTGCCTAATAGCCTCAAGTCTCTGGCTAAGGGCTCCTTACTGAAGGCTGTGGTGGTCTTTGTCTTCATCAGTAAGTGCGTCACAATCTCAAGTTCCCCACTAAGGAGTCCCTGGGTGGTGCAAATGGTTAACATGCTCAGCGGCTAAGCAAACGAACGAGGGGTTGAGCCCCCCAGAGGCAGCTGAGAAGAAAGGCCTAGTGCTTTGCTTCTGTAAAAGCAGTCACTGAAAACCCTATGGGGTACAATTCTATCCCCCCCCACATGGGGCCACCATGAGGTGGAGTCAACACACGCGGGCAACTGGTTTTAAGCGTTTCCCACTGGGAATGAACAAAGTCAGTAACCATCTCTTGACTCTGGGTTCCTACTGAGGTCAGACCCTGGCCTTCTCCACTTCGCCCCATGAGGGGCGATCAGAGGACAGGGCTGTGATAATCCCACTCCTGAGGCCCGCAGTGGCCCTCTGCAGCCAGTCCTACACTGTAGTGTGATGTCTTTAATTAAGGTGTGCAAGGGGTGGTTGTATTCATGGAGTCAGAGTGGGTTTCAACCTGACGGTCCCAATAGGAAGTGCTATTTGTGTCTGACTGGTAAGCTGTCAATTAGCTGAGCATGTCCCCAAAGTGCGAGACAGTAAGACCAGCTAGCATCTCTTTAGGAGGTAAAGGAAGACTTTAAACCCTAGAACCTCCACAATGGGGGAATTGAGATCAGTGACTTTACTCACTATGTACATAGGGGTGTGTGTGTGTGTGTGTGTGTGTGTGTAAAAAGCTCATCAAATAAAGGAAGAAAAATCTCCCCATGATGCAGTTTCTATATACCTTCTAAAAATGATGAATCACACCTGTGCATTTTTCAAACTAAAGCACCTTCCTGAAAAATATTCTCTCAGGTAAGAGTTCATCTTGTGGATACGAACAGCCTTGCTAACATGCAGATGCATCGGAAGCGGTCTGCTGCAGATGCAGTTATGGTGAAATCTACCACCCCATCATTTGATCTTCCTTATGCTCTGTCTAAATTAAAAACATTTTTTTCTGTTTTCTTTTTGATTGAGGTTTGTATGTGTTTTACTTTGTCATCCCTGCGAGGTTGTGTGTGTGTTTTGACATGTTGTTCTGTGTGTGAAATCTAGGATGGGTAAGTCTATAGAGACAGTAACTGGATTGATGGTTTCTGGGGAGTGTAGCAGGGGAGGGTGGGGGCAGGATTGGGGAGCTAATAACGACGAGTACAAAAATAAAGAAAAATGTCTGAAACGGATTGTGGTGATGACGGTACAACTGTTCTTGATGTGACTGAATGATTGAATTGTGTGATTTGTGAATTTTATGCCAATAAAACTGTTGGGTGAAACTTGAAGACTGTCACCGCTGCATTGCATGGATGGAAAACAAACCATAAGAGAGTATGTCCCATGGTGAACCCAGATGTGAGCCTGTCGCCCCAGACCAGCTGCTGGCCTGTCAGCACTGACTCACAGTGGCTCCGTGTCTGGAAGAATCAACCTGTGTCCCAAGGAGCTTTCAATGGCGGGCTGTTGGAAGCAGGTCCTCAGGCCTCTCTTGGCATGTCCTACCTCTGACTGTGCTCAAACCTTCCACCTTTCACTCGCAGCTGAGCACCTTAAGCATTTGCATGACTCAGAGATTTGCTACAGTCTAAGTCAGGCCTCATTCTGACTGGGCTCCCCAGAGGGAGCATTCTTTCTTCTCTAGCTACTGAGTCAACAGAGACGCTGGGAAGTACACTGGGTCTTTAGGTGAACCGGCCATAAGGAAAGATGAGCATCTTAGAGCTGGTTGAGTTAAAGGGCAGCTTTAACTTCATTTAGTGCTTACACCAAGGGGCAGTTGCCTGCACAGAACAAAGGGGACCACAAGTTTTGAAATCTTGAGAGGTGCCCATCAGGGCTGTATTTTTTTTTATCACCACACGCATTCAATCCATAACTGAGCACATAATAAAATCAGTGTGCTGAGCTGGACAATGTTGGAAGAAGTCTCATGAACAACCTGTGGATTTGCCTGTGACACAGCCTTGCTTGGGGAAGCTAAGCAATCTTGATGATCCAAGACTGCAGCCTTCAGGATCTATTGCATCTCAACGTGGAGAACACAAAACTCCTCGCAACGCCCAGTAAGCAACATCCTGAGAAATGGAAGAGAGATGCAAGCTGTCGAGGATGTCATTGCAATCAGAGCCATCATCAGTGCCCGGGGAGCAGTGCTCAAGAACACGATGTATCGCTGCTTTGGGCGAGCCTGCCATTCAAGAGATGTGAAAGTACTAGAAAGCACAGATGTCAGTTGGAGGAACAAGCACGCCTCACCCAAGTCACGGTATTTTTCAATCGCCTCCTCTGTGCGTGAAAACTGGACACGATATGAGGAAGACGGGGCCATTGGTGCCTTTAGATTATGGTGTTGGGAAGGATATGATAGATACATAGCTGTCCAGAAGAAGGAGCTCTGTCTTGGAAGAAGTACAGCCAGGAAGACCCTTGGAAGCCAGGCTGGGGAGGCTCTGTCTCGTCCTTTGGCCCTGTTACCCGGAGGGAATAGCCTCCGGAGGACACCATGCTTGGTAAAGTTGAGAGGGTCAGAAATACAGAGACAGTAACACAGACTCACACAGAGGCATGCCTGTGAGGGCTGAGCAGGATCGGGCAGGGTTTCATTCTGGGGTGCACAGGGTTACTTGACTCAGTGTAATTGACTCAGTGGCAGGCACCCACAGGGGGATGACTAAAGATGCCGTTCTAAGGGTGTCCTCAGGGGCAGTCACTGGCTGCTAAGTGTGATCAAACCTCGGTTCCCTGAGGGATGTGAGAGTGCTTCAGAAGTCCAAAGACTGGGCTTTGCCCAAAGGACAAAGGCAGAGCAAGGGAAAGCAATTCTGCAGAGCTGCCAAGTCTCCAGCAGGTGGCAATCGCTTCCTTTGGCATTCTCCTAACCCCGTTGGCATCCAAACAGGAAGTGAACATTCCTGTACTTCAGCGGGATCAACAAGGAACTCTTCTGCTCCCTCCCCGATCCCCCTTTCTCTGGGTCAAACTCTCCCTAATGTACTAAATTCTCAGCTAGTGGCAGCATTTAGACGGCAGCGAGCCAGGGCTGCAAGTACAGAGGGGATAACATGATCCTTCACCACCGAGGAGAGCCAGATGCTTGGAAATTCCATCACGCACCCCGCCAGCAATTGGGGGAATCACGCCTTGGTGTCTTGCTGCAACCAGCATCCTACCAGCTAATACCTGCAGCAGCAGGCAATTTGACCGAGAGCTGCCTGCAGGAACTAGGGAAAACAGCTTTTTGGCAAAACAAACAGCAGGGCTATTAAGTATGAGATAATTGTTAGGGGAAATATGACCAGCTCTCGCTTTTTTTTAATATACCTAGCAGTTTATCTATATTGATCTGTTTCTGCTAAGGAGGAAATTCAGAGTTTATCTACCTGTCTGTGCAATCAAGGGTGATGCTGGACTATTGGCAAATCACAGGCGCCCCATGGGGATCTGGCCTCTTAGGTTCTAATTTCCGCACCCATTGCAAACATGAATAATCAACAAAGTTAATCAACACTTGATCTTCCAGGTGCTGTGCGTGTCCAATATCCTGAAATTGGAAGGGCAAGCAGGCAACGGGAATTTCAGACTCTTAGGGAGTGGGGGTGGGGTGTTCAATCTCAGAGACCCAGGAGAGGGAATTGTGCAGGAGTCAGGGAGAGGGGATGCGAATATCTCGAGGCAGTAAGTAGACCTTAAAATTAGGAAGACACTGAGGCTAAGCAAATTTAGAAGCTGGGGGATTAGCTCCTCCAGAGGCCAGTTAGGGCAGGGCAGGGGGCTCTTGGGAGACACACTTACTCATAGAAAGTTGTCCACCCTGTTTCATCACTCTTGGTGGCTAGGAGGCCGGTGTTCCCATCATAAGTCATGAGGCCAAGCTCCAGGTTCTGTGTAGACACGACCTTGAGCCCCCCATTGGTGCCCACTGTGAGGGTGATGATCTGATTGTCAGGCATGAGCAGGTGGCGGGGCATGCCACTGCTGTCCCGGCGGATCTTCAGGGAGTTCCCACTATTGTCAATCAACTCAGTGACGTCGCCGTCAGCGCTATATGTGAAATTGTACAGGTACTCCCCTGTCACCAGGCTCACAGTGTACTGGTGGATGCCTTCCGCATTGAAGACGTATAATTCCTGCTCCCCAGGGGATGCGGCCTCATACTGGTTGAAGGCATTCAGAACAGGCTTGTTCTTGCTGACTGCCCGGATCCGAATGTTTCCAAGGTCCGCGATATAAATGGTGCCATCTGGAGCGACAGCCAAGGACGATGGGGAGTTCAAGATGGCGTCGGTCGCATAGGCATCATCGCCCGAGTAGCAGATGCAGTTGACATCGTTTTTGCAGTCACAGTCTGAGGCGGCCCCGGCCAACAGGCAGATCTCGCCATTGGTGGTCACTTGGCGCAGACGGTTAATCTTCTTCTCATCTGTCTCCGTGATGTAGAGGATCCCTGTGTGGGAGATGGCAATGGCGCTGGCCGACTCCAGAGCAGAGTGGATGGCTAGCTTGCTGAGCGAGTAGTCAATGCCCGGAACCTGGCAGTGCATGGGGCGCCCGGCTATGATGCTGACCTGGTGGTTCTCAGTGATGCGAAGGATGACGTTGTTCTCGAGAACATACAGGGAGTTGTCCATAGGGTTCACGGCCAGGTCTGTTGGCCACTCCAAGCGAACCTGTGGATGACACGGCACTGGATGAGCGAACAGGATGAGAGGCGGAGGGACACACACAGGGGCAAAGAAGACTGTCTTTCAGTAAGATGTTGCTGCAAATGCCAGTCACGGGCCCCCTTGCTCATAGTCTATGGTAGCAAAAAAGGGGGATATAACAAATGTCTACTATACCAGGGTGCTTCACGAAGTTTGTGTCAAAGTAAAAACAGGTGATTGTGGGATTTTTTTCCCCAGGAACTTTCTGAAGCCTCCTCATCTCATCTGCTGTGACTAGATGAGGTGGCCAGGCCTCCCCAGGGTGCTGGCACTCCACCCAGACGATTGGAGGAGGACCAGCGTGGTCTTAGCTGGTTATGCAGGCAGTGCACTGCATGACGGACCCGGGGGATCCAGCCTGTGCTCTGCTCACCACGTCCAGGGCCTGTGGAGGCCTACTGGGGACACTTCTATTGAGTTTACAGGAACCTTGCAAGAGACGGTCTTGATGGCAGGGCAGCCAATGTACAGGCTGGCCAGGGAACGAAAACTTGAGTCTATACTTGCAAAAAATAAACTGAACCAAACGTACACCTCTATTGTGGAATCTGAGGTAAACGTCTTTGTAGCAAGGTATTAGTGGTGGAATTGAGGTGAACACTGACGAGGTTAAGTGCGGGCTGAAATGCTCTTAGAGGAAGGGTGAGCAGACATTTCAAGTTCGTTGGGAATCCATATAATACATCCGAGCTTTCTTTGCTGAACCTGTGAGTGAGCCTCTTTTCCCTGAAGAGCCTCAGGTAAAAGCCACACTTGGGGGAATTTTGTAGAGTAACTCAGCACTAGTTACTCCTGCACAAAGTAAAGGTTTATATAGCAAGGATGCAATCATTTCAAATTAACAGGGAAGTTCTGATTGACATATAACACTGTACGGAACCTTCTGAAACCTGTAATAATGATGGAGAAGAGAGGCAATTACACAGTAACTCCTACCCTGTAATCTGCCATGGCTGGAGTGTCACCAGCTCCACTTTTCTGAGCAGGATTTTTCTCTCCTTCTATCTCCCCGATGTCTAACAGTTCCCATTCCATCTCATTGCCTACTTCATCACGGGCTTCTCCAGTCAAACCTGGGATCCATCTCTGCAGCTCCCCCTCCTCCTCCATCCCCAACCGACTGGAAGCAAGTGAGGGCTGAGCCCCAGGTGCTTCTGAGCATTGAGGGGGATAAGGCACAGAGTCCCACCTGGGCCACGTCCATGCTGGAATCGCAGCTCAGGGGCCGCACGGCAGTGAGATCGTTGGAGCCCAGCAGGGTGGAGATAATTCCATTCTGGTCAACCTTTCGGATCATGGTGGCATCGACGAAGTACATGAGTCCATTCTTGTCTACCGCAATACCTGAGCAAGACAAACAGTATGAGTGTGCTTCTTAGAAAAGTACAGGATAGGCACGGAGTAGAGGTGAGGCCATCGGGCTAGGCGCTCTGTTTAGACGAGGGACCCTACTGGGTTCAACTGGCATGCTACTGAAAGCAGTGGAACCCTCTTCACAGGTGTTGGGTTCTGTATAATTCCGGGGCTGTTGGTGGCATCACCACTCACCTCCCTCCAGTGGAAGAATAATAGATCTTGGGCTGCAAGTGAGGGAGAGCGGTGCTACTCGGGGGAGGAGGGGGTAATCTTTCAGTGACTCTCTTTCTGAAAGAGGTCTCTCCAGAATTCACTGCTGGAGAGCTTATTGGTGGGAATTACTTGGAATATCGTTCATCACTGATTGCAAGCAATGAGATTGAGACACAACGATTCCCACAGGCACAGACTCCCCAGGAAATGTTTCCTGCTGAAAGCATCCCAGAAAGAAGCTCAGTCTCAGTTTAACCCTGGAATATCTGGGGGACACGTTGGGCATCTCAGCAGTCCTCTGTCTTGGCAGGGCCAGTAGGCCCCCGACTACTCTTTCTTCCCAGCTTCACCCTACTATCCATGGTATGACTGCTTCCATGGTATGACTGCTTCCATGCTAGCGGAAATTGCTAACAGGGTTTGCATTATCCATGACTGGCTACCTGCTGCGCTGAGATATGAATGGTGGGCAGTTTGAAACCACCAGCAGCGCTGGGGCAGAAAGACTGGGCTTTCTCCTCCCATAAACAGTTACTGTCTCGGAAACCCCCAGGGGCTTGGTATGAGTCAGCCACGACTTGATGGCAGAGAGTTTGATTTTCAGTTGGGTCCTAAAGTATCTCTCGTCCATTTCAAAGGGATCCATTGGTACTAAGAACTCCCCGATCCCCAACCCCTGGAAATGAAAGCTACACATGTGTGGAGTAGTTACAAAATGCCAGGCACTGTGCGTAAGACTTGACGCACATGATCTAACGTGGGGGTGTGGGGTGGTTGGAGGCCCCCACTGGGCTCTGTTCTGTCTGCGGCCCACACGGCTGGCAGGCACTCTGCCCCAGGGCCGGCCCCAGACCCTCCTGCAGCTCTGTGGTGGGCAGCCATCCCAGAGCTCCACGCAGATTCCACCCCACTTTCCATTTGGAGGGGGTGACAATGTTTACTTCCAATAAATAAACATGCTTGTTTCCTTCCTCTTTGTAGACACCCACCCACCAAAGCCATCCATCAGAGCGAAACCATTCTCGAGGAAGCTGTGCTTTGGACAGCCGGGCTCCAGGTAGCTCTTTCTCATAAGGAGAAAGCCACACTGGTGGCAAGCTGTAGCTCAGGGCGAAAGTTCCCTTTCCCGGGACCATTACCTCTTGGGCTCATCAGAGTGGCATCCACAGCCTTGCCACCATCCCCACAGCGGGCATCGTCAAAGGGCAGGCACTGCTCCCCAGTGCCCGCCACGACTTCCGAGTTCCCAGCCAGCTCCTTGGCTCCGCTCAGAGACTTGATGCGGTAGATGCGCCGGCTGTTGGTGTCGGAGACGTAGAGCGAGCCGGACACGGGGTCCACTGCCAAGTAGTACTTGTGCGCCGGGTTGTTGCTTTCCCACAAAGAGAAACGAGAAGGTGCTGTGTAGCTGGGCTACTGGGTGCAAAGGGCTGACACAAATCCTAGCGTGGCTCTCAGCTTCTCTCTCCTAGTGCCGTTCCACTTTAGTGAACTGGAAAGAATCTAACATCGTAATGTAGTGTTTCAACGTCTCACGGCTCTCAGTGACTTCTAATTGGCTCCAGCTCGTCATGCAACCATAGAACTTACGGTGCCCCATGATGCTAAAAGAGTTGTTTTCTTCACTGCAGGAAAGAGCCCACTGGGCTCCGATTTTTATGAACAGTATAGCTATTCAATCCCAACTGCGGCTGCATGCCAATCTCCTTTATTTCCCCCCTCGGGGGTGGGGAGTCTTGGGGTCTTGTATGTTGTCAGATAGAAGGGGGGAAGACTTCCACGGAACACTGCTCTATTTAATCCATCCATGCCTCTTCCGGGCCTCCAAGGGAATAGACCATAGGTTTATCTGGCCTACCACCCCCTTATCAGAAAAAAAATGTACTCAGTGCCCCCTGGCAATTAAAAACTTAAGACATGAAAAAAAAGAGACTAACTTATAAATTACCAAGGGGGCATGGGGGAGGGAGAGGGAAAAATGAGTAGCTGATACCAGGGGTTCAAGTAGAAAGAAAATGTTGTGAAAAAGATGAGGACAATGTATGTACAGATGTGTTTGACAAAATGGATCTATGTATAGATTGTGATACGAGCTGTAAGAGCCCCCAATAAAATAAAATTTAAATGAAAAAGTTTGTACTATAATCCATGATCTATCTGCCCTCCACACCTCGCCTCTTCTCCACTGTGCCTCAGTGTCACAGAGAAAACACTGGGTCTGAATGTGAGGCTTCATAGGTGGGCGACTCGTTGCCATCGTGGCCAGAGCCGGAGGTCCTGAGAAAGGAGAGGGAATTTTCAAACCTTGGGCAGCAGTCGTATGACAGGCATGCGCCAGGGCCCTGAGTCCCATTCGGCAATATCTTCTGTTTCTCAGGGATGAATTAGAAGGCACAAGCCACAGAGCCTGGCACTGGCTCTTCTGGCCTGTGCAATGCTAACCAGGGCGGAGGAGCCTTACAGACGGGTGGGAGCAGCCTCATGTCTCTAAACTCAGCTCTGACCTAGGTGCCCTGGGACAGAGCAAGACTTATAAAACAGGTGGCGATAACTCAGGACCAAGACACAGGCAAGCCCGTGTGCACTTCTGACACAGGTGGTGACCTTAGGTGGATCTTTTGACTGTGCTGGGTCTTCGATTCCTAATTGGGAGAGGGAGAAATCAAATGGGATCATCTCTACTCTCTTTTGCGGCTCAAGCCCCTACAGGTCTGTTCACTGCCGGTGCCTTTCACTAGCTGGAGGTTGGGAGCAGAGGAGTATGCAGCTTGCTCACCTTCCGACTACGGAGGCAAGTGGCGACTGGCTCTCTGTCCAAAGATGTTGGAGAGTTTTGGTATCACGTGTCTATAGACCTGACATTGCCAGTCCTTTTCAGTGGCTTTTTGGATTTCTAGGACAAGAGGGAAAGTGGAGGGGAGGGGGGGAGAGGGAGGGTGCTGTTGAACCTGTCTGTCCTGTGGACATTAGCTGTTGAATTACTAATTAAAACACCACCGTTTGTGTTCTTCCCTGATTTAAGGGGGGAAAAGAACCAAGAGGCTATTTTTAGGAACAATTTGTGCATCAAGTCCATCTTTAATCCTAGATTCTCCTCAGGTTGCTATTAAGACACATAATTGAACCTGAAGTCAAGGTCTTGCTAAAACTCCAGCCTAGAGAACTCGTCTGAAAGGGGAGGCTCCCTGCGGCTCCCTGTCCTTCTTCCCTTCCCCTCTGCTTCCCTTCACTCTATTCTTCTTGCTTTCTTTCTTTTCTTTTTTGCAATTAAGTCATTAGAGAATATCTACATATGAAAACAAATTAGGGCAGAAAGGGAACAATTCATGGCATTCCTTAATTAGATACTGCACATTGTCACTAAGTGAACAGTAGCTGGGCGAGCCACAGAAGGAGTAGGCCATTGCTGCTCTGGGCCTTTCTATGAGCAAGATAATTAATTCTGAACTTTCTAGGGAGTCTGATTTGAGGAGGCCTTTCAAAATCTCTGGCAGAAGTGTGGGCTGTTGAGGGGGTGAGGTCACTTCTTGCTGGGGAGCCCATTCTTGCCTGAAGCCTCATCCTTCTTCCCAGTAAAATTCTCCAGAGAGAAGCTCCGGTCAGATGGATCACTCTGTGTTTCCATCTAAGACTATGGCAAAGGTCAGGCTGGGGCAGGTGCGCTTGAAGGGATGGGGTGCCCTTCTAGGACCTTTCTGCTTCCTTTAAAGATAAGTTGGCTCCAGTGGGGTGCACCTGTAACGAGCTCACGTGGGCAGCTGAGAAGAAGGCCATGGACATTTCCTAGGTATGCCGGGATCATGGCCACTGTCACAGCTGAGGACAACCGACTGCTCTCTGCTGAGCGTTGACCTACTACCACCAAGAAACCTCATGCACCTTTCCTTCCAGGACTGAGGAGCTGCAACCTCTACCGTACCGAGAGCAATTGCTTCGCCGCCTCCTCTTCTCAATCAAAATAAGGCCCCAGTGCTTTTGGGAAGCTCGTGTTACTCCTTTCCCTGCAGCGTCCAACTGTGTGCCCACACATGTGGGATCTACCCTCTTTATGTGAAGTGCACCAGTATGGTTCTCAACGATGACCTTGCATCCTTCGAATGGCAAAGGCCCTCTATACCTCAAGGACTTGGTCTATACCTTTTACCCACCTCGAACATGCTTGAACTTCATGGACATTTCCAATGCATCTGACTGCTGGATGCATTCTGACCAACAGATTGGCAATTAGTTATTTTCTTCTTTTTTTTCTTCAAATGACCACATATCTGGTGTGTGTGTGTGGGGTGGGGGGAGGGAGATCATTAATGAGTTGAAAATGAGTTTTTGACCCGTTTCCAGTTCATTAAAGCTTTTGTGAACCCAGTCCAGCATTTACGGAAGCCAGAAGTTTGCCTCAACTGTTTGCCCCAATTACGGACTGCAGTGAGCAGTGAGGATAAAAGTTCACAGAGGGTTCATTATCCGGCACTTGCATCTCCCGGAAATTCTAATTACTGTCAGCTTATTTGGTTGCTTTTTGACTGCACTTCATAATTGCTAAAGCTTATCATATCCACAACACACAATTAGCACATAAAAGTGACTATATTTGATACATAAAAATATATAGCATTCCACAAGCACAAAACAACAACAACAACAACAAGAAAACAAACACAAGAAGCAAACGAACCGTATCAAATTAGACGGCCAAGAGTTCTTCGTCTTACCTATGTTTAAACTCTTTATTTCTTTATAGAAAGAAAACAGAAGGAAAAAAAGAACAAACAGTTAGCTGAGGAATTGATGATAAAGCAAACACAACATTTTTGTTTCTTGTATAAGGGGACCCAAAATAGGCAGTCATTTTCTTTTCCTACTTTCCCCACGCCCCTGTGGTCATTTGGATTCTTGGGCCATCTGGACATGAAAACATGAATTCCCTGGCTCAGCAGTTTGGTTGTCCAGAGACACCGGGGGTCCCGGCTGAAAGGGGCCTGTTGACTATGGAAGGGGTGGCGAATTGGCCACATCTGGGAGCCAGCTCCTGTTGACTGGTAGTGGCTCTGAGAGGGCAGCAGGTAGAAGAATTATGCAACCCACGTCAAGCTCAATGAAAGGGTGCTGGGGCTCATTTGCTGTGCCACCCTGGGTGTGGGAGGGAGAACGGGGCCGCCTGTGCCACCAAGTTGCCATCTGTCCCTCACAAAGCAGAAGCAGTCCCACTCAAGGGACAGCCTCTGTTCACTTCCAGCTGCATGCAGTTTGGGGAAGACTAGGGGAGCCCTGAGAATCTATAAGGTTTCCCCAAGTCAGTCATCCGACTGAGCCCCGCGCCCTCCGTGTCACTCTACTTTACAGCTCACAACCAACCAACGTGGTCACATTCATACAATACATGTCATAGGCAGCCGCACTCTCTTTTAATTGGAGCCAAAGGCTCCTGTTATCATTCCTTTACTGAAAAATGTTTTGTTGTTTTTTCTTTTAAGAACAACAGTACATTTCAACTGCAACAGGAAAGGGGCTAAACGTTAACATTCGGGAGAAGAGGGGATGCTAGACTGTCCAGGCAGTACTGCTCCCCATTCCAGAAACTTCCTGGCCAAGGTATATGGAGCCTGTGACTCCCTCTCCTTGCTCCTGGCTGAGGGGGCAGCTTCGAGGCAAAGACCAAGAGGGCTTAATGCCTTGATTTCTGCTTAGGTGCAGCTCAGGTCTCTGCCAGGGGCTGTCATTAGTGGTGGGTTTGCACAGGGATTACATTTTTATATTTTATTTCAACGTGTTGGTTTTTGCACAAAGAAAAAAAAGTTAATTAAATGATGCTGATAACTCCTGAGCTCTGACTGACATAGTGCAATTTAAGATTCACTCTGCAAAGCATGGTGTGTCAGGGTGGCAGCCGGGAATTCTCTCGTCTATTTTATATTGCTTAATGAAAGTGAAATGTTATCTGCCACCAGTGGTAGTCATATTTGGCTCTTAATTATTGCAATATCAATTCTACACTTCTTTTAGTCAAGATTTTGTGTGGAGACTGGATGGGATTTGGGTCTGCAGACCTAACCCACTTCTTTCCTAAGAAGATTTGCTGTGAGTTGATTAATATCATATCTATGTTGGGGGAAAGGGCCGGGCAGGGGCGGGGAGTCAAGTCACTGGATGTGCAAGAGTCCAAACCGTCATAGGAATATGAGCTACAGAGACAGGCTGAGGTCACGGCTAGTCTAGACCAATGCCATTAACATAAGGTGACCAGACAGCCCGCTTTGGGCGGGACAGTCCCAATTTTAAAATATTTTCCCGCATCCCATGGCATTTTTAAAAAGTCCTGATTTTTGGAAAGAATGCACGACAAGCTAGGGTATATGGTTTTTGGCTGCCATGTGGCTATTTCGCCAGGATATGAGTTTTATCAATGGTGTCCCGCTTTTCCAATGTTAAAACCTGGTCACCTTACATTAACAGGATGGGGGCTTGTTACTGTTCGGAACCTTCGAGTTGGCTCTTATTCATAGCGATCCCACGTACAAAAGAGCAGAACACTGCCCGGTTCTGTGTCATCTTCAGTCCTTGTTAGGTTTGGGCCCCTTGTCCCTGTTGCTGTGTCAGTCCATCTCGTTGAAGGGCCTCTTATGTCTCACGACTCTCTCCTTTTCTGAGCATGACGCCCTTCTCCAGAGGAGGGTCCAGAGCCCGTGAGATGAAGCTTGCCATCTTTGCTTCTGAGGAGCATTTTGGCTACATGTCTGGAAACTCAGATGTAGTCATTCTTCTAGAAGCCCAAGGAAGAGTTAACCTTGGTGGCCCACCCCACCATTCCAAAGCACCCATTCTTGAGCCTTCCTCATTCATGTTCCAGCTTGCACACAACCGGCCTGAATGAAAATACCATGGATTGGGTCAGGGCTACTTTTGCCCATAAGGCGACATCTTTGTTCGTCATATAGGAAAGAGGTTCTTTTTGGTTTTGCGGATTTTCCCAGTGCAGTATGCAATCTGATGTCTTGGCTGTGGCATCCATGGACATGGATCGTGGATCTCAGTAAAAGAAGATCATTGACAACATCATTCTTCTGTTTATCAGGCTGTTGCTTATTGTTCCAGGGTGGGTGCTTAGCAGGCAAGAAGTCCAATGCTATCACCACTGAGTCAGTCTGGCCGAGGGGCACAGCTGACCCATTTACAGTGGGCAAGCCCTGGCTTCAATAACACAGACCCAGTTGGCACAGCCTCTGAGGAGAAGGTGGCATCCCAGAACCCTAGAACTTCACCCCACAGCCTCTTGTCTGCTCCTGGGAGCGCTTTCCTAGCACTCCCGGCCCCCTTGCACAGTGTCGCCATGCTGCCCTGTGATGTGTGTGTGCACGCTTGTCTCCCTCCCTGCATGACTTATTCATCTCTGTGTTGCTGATGTGATTAGGGGGCTGGGGGGCGGGGAGAGTAAGGGCTGGGAAAATGGGTTCTTCAAGGCAGGAGTGAGGCTGCCTCTCCTTGTCCTGGGCTGACACTGCTCTGGGCTACCTCCAATTCTTCATGTTTCGTTTAGCATTGGGGAGCTGCGCCGACACTAATGTGGAGCCAGTGGCTAGCCTCTGCCATGGACCTCAATGGACTTTTGTGTGAACTGGGGGGTCATGCCTGTCCCGAGATAACGCAGACAAGCAGCGCCGGCATATCTGATACAAAGCGATGAACTTGAGCTTCAGGGCACTTCTTCATTCAGGCCCTTCCAAGCCTCTGGGAGCTGCACCCGACGAGTTCCTATAGTCCCCGGTCTTGGAAAACTTGCAAGAGAAAGATGCT